CAAGAGCCAAGGCCTATTCATCTATTAGGGTGTAATATTCAAAAAGTGCCATAAAAATAATTTGTATTTGTATGCCAATACAGGCAGTTTGAAAGTTAAGCACCCTTTGTGCTGAGAGCTCTAAAAGTGTGTGTTCATTCATTCATGTTTTATCTGGATGTCCTGCATGTTAACGGATACTATTTGATTTCCAAGTTAAATGTACAATATAATTTGTATTACTTTACTGCAAAATCAGTGCAAGATATTGTGTGGAATTTAGACAATAACATTTTTAAGACAATAACAAGACCTTTTTTTTTTTTTAAGTAGAGCTAAATTAAGTTTTTATTTTGGACAGAGTAACTTATGTCCAGTGTGTTTATACTACTCCAAGAATACTGTTCTAAATACTGTGACTGTGCTAAGTGAAGTTTTCCACAAAGAATATAATGACAAAGTCTGATGAAGTAGGGAGGGCTGTGGGTTGTGAAGTATCTTAGTAAGTGATGTCACAATATTTATTTCAATAATAAATTCAGTGATCCACAATCTCCAGGGAACACACTATGTGGGATCTGTGCTGTGCAGCTGTCTTGATTTAATCTATATGATGAAATTGGCTTGTTTGCTGTTTTTGCTGTTGTGTTCATAAACAGTGTATATTGTATAAACTGTGATACTCTAATCTTTGTGGGGGCTACTGTTATCTAGGTATGTGCTGAAATATAGTGGGAATAAATCAGAGACAGATTGCAACTGGCAGATCAATGGTTGGTCTTGTTTTACATTGGACATTATTTGATCTAGACTGTGGATTATAGGTGTTCAGCAGAAATACCTTTGAGTTTGAACTCAGAGAAATTTATAAAATAGCATTATAAGACACCACAGTAACCACCAGTGTTATTCTAATTGTTTTTAAATGTGTATGAACCACACTATGGCAGCAAAACTGCCCCACTGTGTCCCAAAAGATGGATAAACATAGAATGAGACACTGAATCTTAGTACAGGTAGACTGAGGAAAAGTGTATGCTAGAAAACTGTAAAAACTATTGTTGACCTTGTACTATTGTAAGGTAGGAACAACATACAAAGGGTCTGTAAAAGAATGGATGGCAGGTTTGAATGGGTTCTTTGGTATTAGAGTATTAGTTCAGTTAATTGAAATTGTATGTGGGTGGCACATGGGGCGCCCGGGGACCTATCTCAGTGATCTTGTTGCTAGGCCGGGTCAGGACCTTAGCTGGAGGATTTAACCTATGGTGCATATTTTGGGTTGATGGGGGAAACCAGAGTGCCTGGAGAAAACTCACCCAGACACAGGAAGATCAGGCAAACTGCACACAGAAAGGCCCAGGTGACCCGGGCATCGAACCTGGAGGTTAAAGAGAGGTTAAAAAGGATTTGATGACAAGTCAGAAGATTGGCAGTTCAATCCCTCTCTGACCAGTGCATATTGTCCTTGTATCCTTGAGCAGGGCACATAACAAACAATGTCATTGCTCGAGCTGTTGGCTGTCCAAGGTCTAAGAAAGGTCAGTAAAAATGTTACACTGATGTGAGATATCATGGGTAAGCAGTAGTTGTTAGTTGTTTTAGCATTCATTGTTTCCATTGATATTTTAATATTAATATGTGGGTACCACAAATAATAAATGAAAGAGATATGGAAACTATTAAGACAATTAATCACAGAATTTCACATATCCAGTATTTCAGGTGCATTCTTTCAACAAGCTGCAATGCAACTTCAAAAATACACAATAATACCAAAAGCATTCGCTCCATTCAAGGCCCATTTTTCCAGATGTCAGAGAGAATTTTCAGTGTGAACTGAGCACATACACACCTCAACATGCACACATCCTCTGGGCAGGGAGGAGGTGTCTCCTAGCAACTGCCTCTGTGTTAAAGCAGTGGTCAAGTATCATACACAGGTCTAAACTGCACTGGGGTGGGTCTGTTAAGCTCAAGGATACCTTCTTTATATGATATTAACAGTTTGAAATTCTTATTATATTATTATACTTACTTATACTTGATTATGTTCCTAATTGAAATAATGTTGATAAAATGTAAATAACATTCTTTGATTGTTTACTTTATTTACGTCATATTAAACAAACAGACGATACAAACAAAGTATATTGTCTTTTACAAAGAACTTTGTTTCTCAGTCTTGAGATAAGAAGCCACTTTTTTTTCTTTTTTTTTTTTTTTTTTTTTTAATAATAAATTCCCTATAACTCCAGGAGAGTAAAGATACACTTGATATAGAGCATAAATCTCCACTGTCACTCTAGACTGACTTACATTGACTGAGCATCCTCATCTGATTTGGAGACACCCCTTCAGATAATAAAGTTGATCAGCCATTACAAGACCATCACAGCAACAGCTCAAACAAGCATACATACACTAAATTATTCAATGTTGTTTCTAACATTTTAAAAACTTAAATAAAAATAAATCAGGCAATTGCATTTACAATCTAACAAAGGCTTCTCATTGTACTACTTAAATTAAACAGAATATTCACTGACAGATTATTTTTACACTATGGTGTTCTTTGGGTCCTAACACCATTTTCACTGCTTTAACTATACTGAAAAACTAACTTTGCAGGTAGATTTCCTCACCGGTAGTGTCTGTGTTTTCCCTTCACATCCCTGGGTTTGGTTTTCCTGCCTGCGCCCCTGGGCCAATCATGAAATGAGCGCAACAGACACCACCGGCTCAACTGTATTTTTGGCACCCTCTACTGGCCAGACTAGGAATAAACTAATACACTAATAAGGGGGGAAGGAAAGGAGAAGTGAATGGGCTTAGGAGTAGAGGTGAAGACTAGGAGCAGAGGGGCTGGGCTTTTTGACTTGAATGAATCAAATTCATGTAGAGAACACTAGTTATATAACTCAGTATTCTGAATGTGCATTCAAAAATTCCAAAAAGTAATAAAAGAGGCCACCCATGTTATGACTAGACGTCAATTCCAACTCACTCTCTTTATAGGATAAGAGCAATTGAAAGAATCTATAGAACTATCTATAAATCTACACAGTTACACATTTTAGTGTTGACTTAAACATTGGATCTGTCATTGTCATAATCGCTAACTAAAATGCAGGGTCCCCAGTGAAATTCATTTTTCATGTGATGTCATCTTATTATATCTTACTTTATTTTACTATACTGCATCGGTCTGTGTTTGTAAGGCTCCATGTACTCCCATAGAGAATACACGTGACAACAGGGCCTGCACTGAGGGTGTTCACAACACCTGCTCCTTGGATACAGGACCTCAGCTGGCTGTATATTAATTAACAGTCCATAACACAGTTTTGTATTCTGTTAACACTTGAACAAAAGATGGAAACTATCACATCATTGACCTGGATCAGGCCTGACTGCTCTGACCCTCTTGGATGTGAGAAGGTCAGGAGGAAAATGGCAGGACTGTTACTGTCCTTTCTCCACAGGCTGTTCTGTGAGCCTAGAGGTTCACTGAGAGAGGCACATGTGAACATGTCAACTTAAAGAGCCCATCTTACACTAGTTTTTCATTCATTATAATGTTGTTTCCTCATCAAAAACATACCTGGAGTTGTGTTTTGTTTCATTCACACATGATCAACACACAAACACTGCTTTTTTTGCTTTTTTTTTCTCAAAGGCAAACAGTCTGTTCTACTTTGTGATGTCATGTTGTAATACAGGAAAGCCACTGCTCCACTGTTGTTTTAAACTCCATACATCTTCACTAGAATTATTTGGATAATTTCAGCCCTGGAATTGCCAATCTCTACTGAATAAAAGAAATAAGGTAGCTGTATTAACTTGAAAACTAGTACTTCATTAAATCATGAGGTGGAACAGAACATCTGAGCTTTGGAGATGTAGACAGGGTTAATAAAGGATTACTCATGTGTGAACTCAACAAAACACAACCCCAGGTACTCCAGTATGTTTTTGAGTAGGCAGCTGCATTATAACATGGCTTAAAGCTCTCAAGAGTCAGTTTTGTGTAATATAGGACCTTTAAGCATTGTCTTTTGAAAATAGCCTTCTTGTTAAACTGGAGGTCTGATATTTCTTTCTTTACTTTATAAGTTACTGCCATCTACAGGAAATTGAACAAATTGCAGACTAGAGCAAACTGTGGGGACAAAAAACAAACAGAGCTGAGCTTCAGCCAATAAGTCTAAAGTTGAACGTCACCTTCCCCTTTAAACATTTAACTAAATATTAAACGAAACTTTTCAAACACATCTTTTCACAAATTGTAAGTTTTACAGTCCTGTCAACATATATTTGTAAATTTACACAAAAGAAACTACAGTGCGCAAAGGAATGTTAACAAGCTGTATTGTCAGCGACTGAATGAAAGTGACATCAATATAGTGTGCAGTCAAGTGTGAAGGAAAACAAGTCCATTACTTCACTTGCTGGCAGCCTTGTGTTGTAAGATGCTTTTGCTACAACTTTTCTTTATTCTTAAAGTTATTTATGGCTGAACGGAAACACAGGAAATGTATTTTTTTAGCATAAAAAAGAGGCTTCCTACTGTCTTTGCAGCTGCTTCTACAAAACCCTGTGACCTTAGTCTCAAAAGGTTTCAAGCTGTATACACATGAAAAGACACCTAAAAGCATGCACGGGGCAAAAAGGCCTGGATTTCTTGTGTGAACCCCAAAATAATAGGATTTATTTTTTGTTGCTGGTGGGCGGGTCATGCGTGGACCAATCAGAAGAGGAGAGTAAAAGAGAAAGTTTGGGCCAAGGGGGACTCATGGGGCTCAGGGTCTCATGTTAGTACCATATACTTGAGCGGATATTTGTGCAGCAAGAAGCATGCAAAGAATCCCAGAGAAGACATCCATCTGTTAAGAAAAGCAAGCCTGGTATATTTAAGTGCCATTAAAAAGGTAAGATGCAGAGATTAAGTAATTAATCAAATACTATCAAAATCATTCTAAAGTTGTTTATATCGCAGTCTGTTCTAAAGAATCACAAAAATGGGAGCAGATCATAACAAGAAACAAAGTGGTGAGGCAAAAGAGAACAAAGATATAGTGCAGCTTCATCGGCAGATTGGCTTGCTGCCTGCTGTGTGCTTCATCGTTGGGACAGTTGTGGGCAGTGGGATTTTCATTGCTCCTAAGGGTGTCCTGATGAACAGCGGCACAGTCGGGCTGTCTCTGGTAGTCTGGGGTCTTTGTGGAGTCCTCTCCTTGCTTGGTAAGAGGCACTTAACGCTAATCTTTAAAACTGAAATACCAAAATTGCTATGTATTAGTGAGTTAAGCTCAGCATGTAGTACAAGTTGCTGTGATTTTTGTGTCTATTTTTTTTTTTCAGTTTTTATTTTTTACTTATTCATACAAAAAAAAAAAAAAATAAAATAAATAATAATAAATAATAAATAATAATATAATATAATAATATAATAAAAAATTATCAGGGTTTGTTATTCCTGTCCACTATATAAATATAAATATTCTAACAGTAAATGGGCAACATCTAGTTGCAGAATTCTTTATTCTTGCCTGTCTCCTAGGGGCACTGTGCTATGCTGAGTTGGGCACCACTTTCTCAAAGTCAGGAGGCCATTACACTTATTTACTGGAGACACTTGGGCCACTGCCTGCTTTCCTAAGAATCTGGTCTGAGTTTTTATTCATCAGGTTTGATCATATTTAATACACATTTCTATTATTTTACCCATTCTTTTGATTCCTGATAAAACGCAGTGACAGCTGAAATATAAATAATTGTTTGTGTCAAAAAGAAAGGAAATTAAATAGAATTTGCAAATTGCAAAACATCAAATATGTCTCAAAGTTTTGACCATGCAGACAACCTGCTTTCTTTGAAGGTCCTATATTATGCAAAATTGACTCCTGTGAGTTTTTAGCCATGTTGGAACATTTTTAGCTCCTCAAAAAATATCTGGAGTTGTGTTTTGTTTCATTCACACATGTTTGAGTAATCCTTTGTTTTTACTCTGTCTACATCTCCAAAGCTCAAAATGCTCTGTTCCACCTTGTGATGTCATTAAGCAGTATTTTTAATATAAACAAGCTACCTTTTAAATTTAGCTGAGCAGATATTAGCAATGCCAGTGGTGAAATTATCCAAATGACTCTAGTGAAAGTGTAAAGAGTTTACATAATTAAAGTTATACAAGAGCACTTTCTATATTACCACATGTCATCACAAGGTGGAACAGAGTACTTTCTGCCTGAGAGAAGAACTCAGCCTAAATATGGAGGGTTTGTGTGATAAACATGTGCGAAAAAAAACACATTTTCAATATCCAATTTGAGTAACTTTCACAATAAATGTTGTAGACCCTGAAGGGTGTATAACTGAGATGCAGTGTTGGCCAGATCATAATTGTAACTGGGAATAAGACAGAAATGTTTAAATGTATAATGAAATATACATTTTCAGGCCAGCTGTTGCATCCTATGTGGCATTGGCATTTGGACGTTATGTGGTTGAGCCTTTCTTTACTCCATGTGCTGCTCCCTCTGCACTCATCAAAGTAGTCGGCATCCTGGGAGTGAGTGAGTGCATTATTGAGTGTGTATACTACTGTGTAATTGTGTGTTACATACAAACCAGTGTACAGAATGTGTTCTGAATCTTTTACAGCATTTGTTGTGGCTGTAAACTGCTGGAGTGTGTCAGGGGCTTCTCGAACACAAGTGACCCTGACCTTTATTAAGATGTTTGCTCTAGTCCTTATTATCATTCCTGGTATCATCGCACTGGCTAAAGGTACAGATTAACACTACTCTATTCAGATGTAATTTATATATTTGTACTGATGATGATGGCTTGTGTGTATTACAAAAAAATAAAAAATAAAAAAAATAAATAAATAAACATAAAACCAGTAATATACTGATGTAATATGTTAATAAACCTTTTATTTTCAGGAAAGACTGACAATTTTCAGAATTCATTTGAAGCTGAATCTTTAACACTGGACAGACTGCCTTTGGCATTTTATAACGGTTTATATGCCTATGGAGGCTGGTAATAGAGTACCATTTATGGAAATACCATATACACATCATTTCTGTGGTGATTTTATGTTTATTTTGTAGGTTTTATCTCAACTATATCACAGAAGAAGTTATCAATCCAAACAGGTATTCAGAAGTTTTTCCCCACTCATGAAACTTGAACTTGAACTAATGATCATTGTTTGTGTTTTGATAGAAATATCCCTCTGGCCATCACCTGCTCCATGGTGATAGTGACAATCTTCTATGTGCTGGTAAATGTAGCGTACTACACCATGCTGAGTCCAGCAGAGTTACTGCAGTCGGATGCTGTAGCTGTCGTCAGTATTTCTTTTTTTCTTGTATTATCATGATCAGATATGAACTGAGTTCCCATAGCTTTCCTCTCTGCCTTTTTCAGACATTTGCCAATCGGGCTCTACAGGGTTTGTCTTCTATTATCCCTATTCTTGTGTCTGTATCATGCCTTGGAACACTTAATGGAAGCTTCTTTGGAGTACCCAGGTATGACTATATTCAGAGGACAAAGACAAAATACAGAAACTCACTGTGTGTTATGTTTATGTACTGAAACAACAGTTACAAATTCCTTAAAGTGCAAAGGGCAGGTTCTCATCTTAGAACTTGGTTTAGTGGGATAGTCATAGTACCTTTGGGAAATATTTCATCACACATCAGTCAAGTGTCAGCTTGTGATGAAGTAGGAAAATTCAAATAGAAAAATACTAAGAAGTAATTGAGTTCTAAAACAGAATCTCTCTATGTCACACAAAATTCCATCCAACATTCACAAGGCAAAATACATTTTTTTGTCAAATAATAACTATTGAATTAAGTATTAAATAAGACAAGCTTTGGCCCTTGTCTATGGTATGGTTGCTAGGTAAAAGAATTATATTGTCATGCAATAGCTGCCTATTATAAACTTCATTAAATTGGTTGAACTAGGGAAAACTATTCAACATTATTAGTAAAATTTTATTTAAAGATAGCTGTGTTAATTATATTTTAATGAAAATTGTAGTATAACCTGTCTAATGCACTTTGATGTAAAAAAAAATTAAAATCTTTGTGTTGCAGAATGTTTTTTGTGGGAGCCCGAGATGGTCACTGGCCACCGATATTTTCTATGATTCATATCCGCAGGCACACACCATTACCAGCTGTACTCTTTCTGGTACAAAAAAAAAAAAAAAAAAAAAAAAAAAAAAAATATATATATATATATATATATATATATATATATATATATATATATATATATATATGATGTACACTATATGCATATCTTTGGTATAGTTGAGGAACAACATAGACATGTGTCTCCACTAGTATCCGTTGGTTGTGCCAATGATGATCTGTGGAGAGATCTACCGGCTTATCAACTTTGCCTCCTTCCCTCGCTGGTTCTTCCTTGCCTCTGCCACTCTAGGAATGCTCATACATCGATACCGCTTCCCTCTAAAGCCAAGACCGTTCAAGGTGAGTGCATGGTTAACTCAGAAAAGAGTGTAGGAACTGCTTAATGTAAGATATGATGCTTTGATCCTACAGGTGCCAGTGGTGATCGTGGTCATCTTCACTGTTGTGTCCTTCTTTATTGTGGGTTTCTCTCTGTACTCGGACCCCTGGAATACAGGCTGTAGCTGTGCCCTCACACTGAGCGGAGTGCCAGTCTATTATTTAACTGTACACCGCTCTCGGGTGCCTCTGAGATTCAGGCGCATCTTTAGTAAGTTACAAGAACTTTGTTTAGTTTCCTAAAATATGAAAGGTGGGAATAAATGGGTACTGTTCTGTACTTTTAGTTATTTCATATTTTAAAGATGTCTTGCTTAAATTAATAGTTTGTTTATTTTATAGATCTGTGTAGCAAGCAGCTGCAAATTCTCCTAGAAGTTGTTCAACAGGACATCCAGACATATTGAGGATCCCAGAGACATTGAGCTGCAAACATCTTATTAGTCCTATACATGAATATTCTTTCTTACATTGTAATAAAAGTCTAAATTTGTTTCCAAATTTTGATGAGTCTGGTAGTAAAGTAAATCAAGCTGCACCCAAGTAAAGTCAGTAGCACTAGGATTTATTGCAGACAGAAATAAAACCAACCTGAAACAAGGCACCCATGAAAGACTTTAATATATCCCTACCACAACTGGCTCCTGGAAAGAACCACACATATTGATAATGCTACACTGTAAACAACCTTATACAGAATAAAGCTTTTCTTGAAGACTGTATGGGTGTTACTGAGACAACAAAATAAGGTAAATGAAAGACTGGCATGTGATACTGCATGTGTTATCCCTATGGAGACAAAGCCCTGAAAGTACAGTCCTCCCAAAATAGTTTTACTACAATAACAGACGTTTTTGGCATTACTAAGATCTAAGTCTAAGTACACCCTATTGCTTCTAGTGCTTTTTGTTGTGTTGTCTTTTTATTTAATTATTATCTTAAAAATTCCTAAAATATTCCATAAAGGCTAAACACTATATACTGGACAACAAAAGACAATTATATTGTTTGACATTAAAAAGATTAAAATAAAGTTATGATATAATGTGCAAATCAAATTACATACAAGTAAGCATACATCAGAGCTAGCATTTTCTTCAGTAAGGTCAAAATTACAGACTGAACTAGGACATAAGAAAATGCTGCAAAAAACAATACAGACAGAGGTTAAGGTGACACAAGAGATTAAAATCAAATTACAAATAAAACCTTTAGTTGGAAGTGCAAAAGTTTTGTGACTCAAATAAACACAGAAGCTGCATAATATCAGCTTTAAATAAATCTGAAGACCACTGGCCAGTCACAAACTTTCAGTTTTGCATCTCAGAATTATATATGACTGTCCCACACATAAACATGTAATTATTTTAATTGTGGAATGAATTCTGACCAGCTTATGTTGGCCATTCCCATGTCCTCATCATCCAAACCAGAGAAACTAATGTCCACGAGGATCTTGCTGAGGCTGTCATTCATGGTGTCGAGGACCAGCCCTTCTGTGACGGAGTGCTTCGTGGGCGTGACTCCTGTTGTCTGCAGCAGTTCTCTAGAGCAGCCACTGGGGTGGCAGTCCCCCGGGAAGTCTGATGCTCTGGATGTTGAAGCAGTGAGGAGCTCTCTGGGGGAGTTGAACAAGGGCAGATCTTTAAACGGCGTGCTGCTAAAGCTAAATGTGGTGTAATCATGTCGTGGGGTGACTGCAGGACCTCCAGGCGTTCGAATGGGACTAAAGTCCAGAACAGTTTCACGATGTTTGCCGACTGGGGTCACCTTCCACTGCTCAGGGAACATATTACAAGGCGGTTTACTTGGGGTTGAAGAGGTCATGTGGTTGCTACTTTTAATTGGCGTTTTAAAAGACAGTTCTCTGTTAGGGCTTAGATTCTCTTCATCGTTCAACACGGTATCTGGCATGTCATGGAAAGTGGAAGTGTCTGACACCACCCCAGAGTCAAAAAAAGTGTTACCATGACACAACAGAAGAGGCTCCTCATGCAGAGAGTGCACGAGGCGCTGCTTGCGACGAGAGCTGCTGGTAGACTGCTTAGAAGTCGCTTTTGTAGAAGCACTATTAACTGGAATTTCTACTGCTTCTTCTTTTATGTCCATTCCAGATACATCATCCATTGACACCTTTCATAGATACACATAAAGACAATTAAATTTTCTGTCAGTTTTAAACTTTTAATGTTATTGCTTACCTTTGGAGCTATCCGGACTTTTTTCCCCCCTCGAACAATGCTACGTTTATGCTGAGAACTAGATGATGACGGTGGCATGTACACTGACGAAGAAGCAGGAAGCTGGATAGGCACCAGGTATGAGTCTGTTCTGGGAAGAAGAGGCTTCATTTTCCTCTCTAAAAACAAAGAATTTAAAATTAGATTAGACAGAATATAGATGCTTTATACACAATTATTTCCAACTCACCACTGCCAAACGATGTTTTCTTGATACTCTGACATTCATTCATCATTCTTTTCTAGTAAAAGATAAATTAGCATAAATAATGTTGTCTTAAGAACAGTGTTGAATTAAAACACATCTACAACTTTGTACAATTCTGTACTGAAGAAATGACTGAAAATGCTTCCTTCTTCATCTCCACCTGTAATAGACTTAATAAATAAATCCTGTTTGTACATTCAGTTATTAGCCAGCCAGTAGCAAAAACATCCTGACTTTCTGTCCCTTGTCTGACGTTATGTTCCTGTGTGGGGAGAGAAGATAAACTGAAACAAATCTTGATGATTCTTACTTGATTAAGAAAGAAAAGCATTGTTGGTGGACCAGGAACTTTCAAAGGGTCAAAATCGGGCTGTGGAGAAAAATATCATAACAAAAAAGACAAAAACTTTTCAACAATTGCCTCACTGGTACAATTGGTACAGTTGTATAGTATAGTTTGTTAATTATGGTTGTGCTTACCTTGTACACTTGATCAAGAGTAAGACATCTGTTTGCCTCGGGCCGGATTGTCCAAAAAGAAACTTTGCCATCAGTTGATGTTTCACGAATAAACATGTCATGCAATGATAGATTGTGTCGAATAGAGTTCTGTGTGAAAGAAAATAATGACATAAACTGTTCAAACTGGGTTTAATGTATTAACATAAAAAAAATAATAATAGTGCAAATACCTTCCAACCAGGTTTCGCCCCCTCTTTAAAGTAAGGGAAATGGTCCTCAATCCACATATAAATCTCTTTAAGGGTCATTTTCCTGCTCTGTTTGCTGTTGATTGCAAACTGGATCATAGCCATATAAGAGTATGGTGGCCTCTCAGGCAGTGACTGCTTAAGAGACACTTCTGAATCAGCTTGTGTATTACAACTCTGTAACAGGTGTAAATAAAAAGTAAATGTATTATATATCACAAACCGTGACTTGTAAAATAAAATAAGAAAAACTCACCTGTAACATCTGGGAGACCTGCAGCTTTTCCTTGTCAGGAAGAGGTTTGGTTGGAAACTGTTCCACAAAATGTGTGCTCATTCGTCCCAACCACTGAATATTTGTAAGACTGTTATCTAGTGGGCCACACTCCATATCTTTGCCTACAATTGTACAATGAAAAAAATATAAGTCTATTAAAAAGTAACAGATTTAGGGAAAATGTATGCGCTTACATTGTTTAATGGCATTGAAGAGTTTAATATTCTGGATGTTTATCTGTCCATTTGTAGTTTCTGAAGATGAATTATTTTTCCGTGAGATAATATTAGAAAAAGATCCACTGCTGTTGCTATTGTCCCCACTTAAAAGAATAAACTTATTTGGACCCTGTGCACCACACTCTTTGCCTTTGGCAGTGAGCACTCCAATTACATTCTGAATATCTGCAGTCTTTGGGACAACCACCACCTGTGTAGAGGCCATGGAGGGGTGATCCATAATGCAGACACCATCAGGAATGCACCGACTGGAATTTGCCTGTGAAGCATCTTCAGTTGCTGCTTTATGCAAATCGGGGCCTGGGTCACTCTGTTGAAAAGGTAGCCTTCGCCTTTTTAGTATCAAGGGTCTCCTCGGGCTCCGTCTCATTGTCATCAGATTACTCCTCCTTGATATTCAAGTAATTCTGTGTAACGATGACAAAGGAAAAGACTATTATAGCTTCTGAACTGACAAAGAAAAACTTGAATGTAACGTTAGCCAACATCGGTTAAGCAATTGTCCAAGCTAGTTAGTACATGTAATAAAGGAAAATACTGTTTATACGGAACATTACATCGTGTTTACCTGACAGACTATTGGTCTTGATGCTTGGTCATCTATGAAATTAAGCTTTAACCAAAATTTAAACAGGATCACTTTTCCCGAGTTTACATTTTCCGCACAAACCGTACCAACTATCGCAACTATCTGTGTTTCCCTGGCAACTTCCGTGCTTTCAGAACTATAGTTGTTATGGCTAACGGCACATTTACAACAGTAGAGATGTGCGCGTGGCTCACTAGTTCAACCAGACAAACACACTAGGACTATGGTCGGCCCGGGCAGTGCGTATTTGCGCAGCATTCGCTTGTACTATGCATTCGCGAGCTTTCAAAAAGAAAATAGAGTTGAATATTGTTTACTCTGAAATATTGTATGCAAAATGAAAATGATCCACTACATTATTTGTAACATCTTCATGCGTGAGCGATCAATGTATGTAGCTAAAGCTTTGTAAACGTTAGCATGTCGACGAATGGCTTTGCTGTGTATATTTTATAACAAGCGTCTTACACCTAACTATTTTAAGTATTTAGTCCAAACCTTCATATTATCGTTTGCTTTCGTGTAGGCATCTCGATGTGGCGTCTATTGTCACTTGATTATTATAAAAATTACGCTATCATGATTATTTACACGCCGTTCTAGCCATCTTGAGTGATTTTTGAATTTTGGCGCTGTGGGTGTAGCGTTTCCTCATTTACCCACGTGGTTTACATACGCCAATAGAAAGGCGTGTCAGCATTAGCCCTCCACCAATCAGTTTTGGTGACAGTGCATACCGGGAAATGGAGAATACTAAACAAAAGGGGAGAAAAGTAGACAATCGGCACGACTAGATAGTGAATAATAATACCACGCTTTTTTGACAAAAGTCCGTATGTTCGTTCCACAGCTTCATCACGTTTGTTTTGACGGTGCATTATGTGGTAAGTGTACAAATATACAGGGGGTAGCGACTTTCAAATGAAGCCTGATAGCAACCCCAATACATTAGGATGTATTTAAAGATAGATTAAATTAAACAAAAAGAACATTTTCTTAAATTTTCACAGATTCTTCAGGCATGCTTCGCGTTAATGCCCCGAAAGAAAATAAAGACGGACAAACAACCCCTGCGGTTCCTGGAGCGACCAGCAGGAGAAGCCAAAATCCAACACGTACCTGAAGTGCGGGCTGCACTCAGTCCCAAAGATTTTTTCGGAGAGGCACAAGAGTATAACGGATCAACTCTAAATTCATGGGCAAGTGTAATTTTTGCTTTTTACAAATTCATCATGGTGGACGTATGGTTACTTTTCTTTTTACTTTATAGGTAAACCCACAGTTTGATACGTCTTGTGCTGCACTTAAAACAAAAAAAAGAAGAAAATGCCAGTCCTCCACAAGCATAAGCAACTTCTCTCAGCTCGCCAGAAAAGGCAGTGTGTGCAGCAGCAGGTTCCCAACTTTATTATTTGAGAAAAGAGAACAACGCAATCAAAAAGAAAAAAAGAAAGATTCAGATGACTGTTCTTCAGCTTCTAATGACTCACGTCACCAAGAGTACTGCCAGAGTACAAAAACAGTGTGCAATGCGCAAACATTACATCAACCTAATATTGTTAAAGCACACAAAGATAATGGTTTAAAGAAGAAGACCACTTTGAATCAAATCCAGTCTTTTATTGCAAGTGAAAGTATTTTACCTGAAAATCCTTCATCACATCACTCCAAGGACTGTACCAATGCTGATATTGCACCGGTGCTACTAAATACAATCACACCAAAGATAACAGAGGAATATTGTGCCTACTCACATCTACTTTGCTCTCCACCACCATGTACTCCATCAGGGAGCAGAATTCTGGATATTTTGGTTCCTGACACGCCAGAAAGAGATTATGGGGTCAAGGTGACATGGCGACGCAGGAGAAGATTGATGCTTTTGTTGAAAGAGAAAGGTCATTTATCGGACTCAGATTCAATGATTCACATCTGATCAAGTTATGGGGAAGCATCACCTCTCTGTTTTGATGTTGCGTATATACTTAATTAAACGATGTCAACAAAAATTTATGTATTTTTTTATACTATTGGACTGCATGCCTTGAAATGCAAAATATAGACATTTAAAATAATAAACAAATCGGGTTATGAAAATGAATATCATAAGAAAAAACGAAAATAATGCTGCTATATGTACATATTGTAAAACAAGAAAGAAATTGCTCTAATAAATGCATTCTGATGAAAATTTATCTTTTGCAACATTAACACATACGTTTTGCTGGTTAAAGTCACAATATCCCTGTTCTCCACTTCAGCAGCCATGCATGCCATAAAAAACTGCCCCCTAACTACTCCACGTTCACAGCCCTCGCTCACTTTTCATCCATGTTAGTTAAGCCAATCACCGTAGACCTTACTAATGTAGCATCCACTGGCATCTCTCGTTATTCAAGCGTTTGGTAACTAAGGGGAAAGGCTCGAGTTCCTTTAACGGCGTCTGAAGTGAACCATATGCACACGAAACGTCCTTAGCAACCGGTCAAACATGAGTTACTACAGTATAAGGTAAGAAAATACACATTCGCATTTGACATTGGATTATACTGATGGCATATCTGAATGGGAAAATGTACAGATTATGCGACTATCGTCTTTTTGTCAAAAACTTGGGGGACGCCCACAACTTTTAGAGGGGCCACTGTGAATAGAAAACGCTGTGCACGAATGAGCTAGCGTTAATGTTAATGTTAGCTCCTATGTAATACGCTAGCGACAACATTTACTGCGATTTAGGCGTATACATCGGTTACTGTGAACAGGAGATCATTGTTTGTATATTCAGTGCTAAATAAAAGGACCAAAATGTTATGATAAGAGATAGGAACGGTTGCGTTACCATTTCAACACACAAATAATGATAATTTCTGAGATACACATGGAAGAATACACCATGCCTTTTTCTTGTTGAGTTTTGTGCATTGCTTTGTGTGTGCATTAAGTCCTAGCACTCGTTATACGTGTACGTAGTAATATTATTATTAACTAACAGCTAACTTTAGCTAGTTAACTGTGTTACATTAGTCGGAAGACAGCTCAGTCCTCCTCAGTCCTGATCTGATAGACATCTGAGCTTACAGAACCCGCTGCCAGACTTGTTTGTTTTCCTTTTCCTTGTGATCCTCACTCACTGGATCATACACAGATGCGAGAGTACTGTGGGTGTATGATGCGGCTGCACCATTTGATGAGCCAGAGGAACAGGGAGCAGAGGTCGTCTTTTACTTTGCAGTGAGATAAAATCAGAGTAGTGCCCAGCCTTTCCTGTTCACTTCCATTTTATCATATGTTTGTGGAAAAGATATTTGGCTGCAAAGTTTAGAAAGTAGAATATTGGGTTTTCTTTGTGATTGTGTCAAAATTCCGTTTTATTGTACAATAAAAAAAAAAAGAAAAAAGAAAGAAAAAAAAAATATTGCAAGTCAAAAAATATTCGCTCCTTTAGTTTCTAGCAGCAAGCTTCAGAGACAATTAACCAGCAGCCTGTCAAGTTACTTGGCAATATGCAATGATTTACTTTTAATTTTGCAAATGAAGAAAGGAAGATCAATTGTAATTTTAACAGTGATAGATCAGACTGATATTCATCATAACAGCCAAATAGAACAGATGATTCTCTGTGATTTGAGAATCATATATTCTCTTGGTTTTTTTTTTTTTTAAGTTATCCAATGCCTGACATGATCGGAGCCATAACATATCCGTGATCACTGGGGAATGTGTTATTATCAACTCTTGTAGCTAATTTCCATGTTTTGTTTTCAGCTCAGTAATTACTCCCACTGGTGAGCATTTCCCTAGCTTATCAGTTGACGACATACCATTTCAAATCTGTTGCGCAGAACAAATGCAAAGCAATTCTCTCTTCAGTTTTTGCCTTGATTTTTTTCCCTCTCTGAAGGAAAAGAAGTACAATCCTACAGTCTCTTAGCAACAGGAGGACGGTCCTTGCAACACGTCACATTTATGACAGAGATTTTCTATTGACTTCTTAATTCTCTGCCAACCTGTATATGTAATGATCAGAAAGGGGGGTACGATATGTGTCTCAAATGCTTGGGCAAAAAGATTTATATTTATTTTAACTTAAATAAATTCCACATGGTGAATTCCATATCATGAATTTAGTGACTGACCATAATAATAATCATAATAATAAGAAGAAAAAATGTAATTATTTATTGTAGTATTTATTTGTGCCAGTATAATTTAATTGTATAGTGTTTGCCATATTTTTTGTTGTTTATTCCTCCTTAGCTAATTCAAATGTGTCTTCATTAATTCCTAATACTTTGGCCGTTCTCCCTTGTGACAGCACACAGTTCGCTCCAGACCTCAGCCTGCCTTATGTCACTCCCCCGGGTGGGACAGAGCTACTCTTTCGCAGTCACTTAGAAGCTGATATCTTTGAAGCAACCAGGTCTGTGTCAGGTTAGGCTGAGTCAGGGATTCAAGAGTTTCATTTTGTTATAACAGTGTTGAGACTGGACAGTAGCATTTCTGGAGCAGACACCATGGATACTGTAAAGAATGGAGGATGTCAGCCTGTCTACAGTCGCTGGTCATACAGGTAGAGCTGCACCAGCACACACTTATCATTGCCATTGAAAACTGTCTTTTGCCTTCTTTGTGGTGTTAGTACATTCATAAATGTTCGGTGATACTTGTGTTAATGTTGATAAAGACGTTCGACGAAACAAGTGAACATTCTGTGCCTCTTGCTCTTGTTTCTGGCTCCTGTCGTTACTTATTCAGAGCACCAGACCGAGTTGTAACCAGAGTTGTCCATGTGGTTTTATTTTGTTCACTTTTAGAAGTCATGTTTCTTACTGTTTTTGTTATAGAATTAGTGTTCTCAGAAGTTATTTGGAGCTGTTGGAGGACATTATTATGAATAATAATTGAATACATTGAAAATGCCAAAAACTAAAAGCATTTGTGTCCTTTATTTTGAAGCAGACACTGATATTATTATCACTATATTAGAGGGGAAATACTTGGAATGCTTTCAGAAATGTGGGCATTTCTAAATAATTTAACATGCTCTAAAATGTCCATAAGGGTTAAATTACCGTTATCATAATAATGCTTTATTTAGGTTCTAATGATTGATTCCAGTATGTGTTTGAACTAAAGTTAGTCAAGAGCATAAATCTTCACATCACAGTGCTAAGGCGTCCAATTACAATGAAGCTGGTTAAAGCTTTTAATCAATGCTGCTGGAGGTGAGCTGTTGAAGTCTCCATGGATACTCTGTCTGACAAACAAGGAAAGGACAACGGCGCCGTGTCCTCCTCTTGTCACCCAAGCTGTGATGGACTAATGAAACATTGATCATTGACAGCTGTGATGAGAGAGGCATTTACGTGTGTTTTTCTGGAATACTTTATCATAGAACAACAGCAAAAGTTTCACATTTAAAAGTGTACTCTTGTAAGTACCAGACATACCTACAAGAGTACTTGTAGAGCTTGTATCTAATCTTCACTTGTTTTGTGTTTTACATGTGTTGTTCCTGCGGTTGCAATGATTTGCCATGTTCCGTAAAGACCCTCCAGCTCAGCCAGCTTCTCTTCTAATTCATTGGCAAGGTAAAGAGAAACACTTTATTATGCAATTCTATACAGCGTTATTACATAAAGTGTGACCTCAATATTTTTGGTAAAAGTTAATTGAGCAATATTTTCCCTTGGTAGTATTATTATGAAAGCTAGTTCTTTCAACACAATTACATGTTTTCAAACCACAATATTGGATGTGCAGTACTACCTCTTCACTCCTTGTCTCTGTCACAAGCAGATGCTCTCAGGTAGAGGTGATATTCCCCCTAAGGACCGTCTGTTTACACACATTATAACTAAGAATTATACAATTGGTGTGACGTGGGTGTACAGACCTGCCTCTGACAAAACATATTCCAGTGGTACATTTGTAATCCGAGGCGGTCCCCAGCTGCCCTTAAATGCTCCATAACAGCAATTTGTTGAGGTCCTTAACAAGCATGTCATTACCTGCACTGCACACTCAAGCTCTAAATAGATGGAAAATTGAGAACAAAGTAGGGTGTAACCAAGGATTAGCCATTCTGATCAGATAAGGTTAGCCTTTGAGAGATTGGCTATAATATAAAGTCCTATTTAATCTTATATTAGTAATCTGTGATATATAAATAGCAATTTTAGAGCAGTTGGTAGTTGTAATTGGTGCATACATTCATTCAGTACAGTACAGTACAGTACAGTACACACATATATAGAGTCACACATGTCACGATAAATGCCTGCCATCTACTGGTAGGACACAGTAAAACCAAAAGTTTGATGACTGACTTCTGTAAGTGTCTGACTTCTTTCTACAGTGGAGTTGAAGATGACAGTGCCAGTCTTATGCAACAGAAACTGGAAAAACAAGTAAGATACACTTTATTTAGTTACATTATTATTTTTTTGTAGATCAAATAAGACTTATTTGTTTCTGCTTAAATTTTTGACATTATCTCATATTTTCATATTTTTTATTATCTGCAGCAAAGCTCTGGAGTGGAGATGATTACGTAATTTCAAATATTTTTTGTGAATTTAAAATGGTCAAAATGTAATGGCTCATACATTTGTCAACCTCCTATTTTGCTCTTGCTGAGGCAGGATGTGCTGTAGACCCAGTGCAGAGTCATATCCTGATCTTGAAATGCCAAGCTAATGTCTCTTTACAAATGAACAGAATAATACAATAGGCTCTCCATAAATAGCTTACAGGAAGTGGGAGGTTAAAGAGAAGTATTAAAATGTAATACACCACTGTTAGTTATACATGGCACAAGTTTGGAATTATAAGTTGGATTGTACAAGAAAGAAGTCATCTGTTACATACATCTATGGTTACTTATATCTTATTATTAATAATTACAATCATCCCTTCTATTATCACTTATGTGTAAAGTGTTTTCTATTCTCTTTTGTCCACAGAGGGCCCTACTGGAACAGAAGCAACGTCGGAAGCGTCAAGAGCCCCTCATGGTTCAGCCCAACACAGAAGCCAGGCCCCGGCGAACAAGGACGCGCCGCGGGGAGGAGCAGGCTCCTTTGGTCGAGTCCCACCAGAGTATAACCAGTGATGCCATCATGGACGGTAATATACAAACTATAGAGCTCTGGATTTTATGTAAAAAAAATTACATTTTTTGCAAACTGTAAAGAATAAGAAGTGTTAAAAATGTATAAAATAATATTTTACACATATGTTATTGGCAAAATTTCATTAACTGTTTTACGTTTTATATCAAATTTTATTGGGAGGCTGATGGTCAAAATCTTTCAGCTGACAGTCTCTGCTATTTTAGGTATAGACGGGCCTGCTGCCATTTTGGGTTCAGAAAACACTGAAGTTGGAAGAACGCTTCAGATTGTGTCAGTGGGCCATTCTCAGCACCAGCCTGAGCCTCAGTGTCAGCCTCAGTCCCCTTCAACAAATGAGCCCGACAGAGATGGAGACACAGAATCACTACTGGAGCCCAAGACCAATATCCAAGAACTTCTGCAGAAACAAGGTCTGTTCAAAGTCCAAGCAAAGTGTTGTGAAATATGTCTAATTATGGCTTTGGCCTTCTTAGTGTCAAAAGTGACATACTCATATGAATATCTCATATGAGAGTGGACATGTGCTAAAATGTACCTGAAAATGATGATTGAGGCAGAAAAAGAGAATGGACTGTAAGATTAATAAGAAATTTCACTTTATACCATTTCAGAGATTACACTCCAGTTCAGTTTTCAGTCAGTTTTTTTTTAGGTTTTAGTTTTTAATATAGACAATATACTCTACCTTCTAATATATATATATTTTTCAATTGTCAATCTTCACAACAAGAATTGCAACAATATTATCTGTTTTCCCCAATACAATTACAGAAAAATCATATCTTAGCACCTTTAATTCCTTTTAGCATCATGGTTTCAGAATGATAACTGTTGCCTTAACGATTCACAATTTAAAACAAAATATTTTATTCCCTTTTTAGCTCACTATTTCTGGCATTAACCACGCTGAAACCCCTCCATCAAGATCAGTTCTCTGGCTTCCAAAAACCTTCCAACATGTTTTTTCCCCTCCTAGGTCTGTCTGACACTATGAACTTTGATGAAGCTAGTGAGCATGAGGACGATTTAGAAGATGGACAGACACATTCTCTGTCGCCCCAGGCAGACAGCAACAGGCCTGCATCTGCAGCTAGTGGGAAAGACATTCCAGTGAGTAGAATAGTACTGCACATTTTCTATTTTTTATGCAACCAATTGTTTAGTCTATTTTTGCCTATTTACACAGGAGCTTGGAAGCCCTGGGTCCCCTTTATCAGAAAGCTCTGCAATGGATGTGGCTAATCTAGAGGAGTTTGTGTTGCGCCCTGCACCTCGGGGGACCACTGTGAAATGCAGAATCTCACGAGACAAGAAAGGCATGGACCGCGGCCTGTACCCCACTTACTTCATGCACATGGAGAGAGAGGATGGTAAAAAAGTATGTTGACTATTGAAATGTATTTACAACTTAAATTTACTTTTAGACATTATTTCATAACATCTACCCTTTTCAGATTTTTCTTCTAGCTGGAAGGAAGAGGAAGAAGAGTAAGACGTCCAACTACCTTATCTCTGTAGATGCCACAGACTTGTCTCGTGAGGGAGAGAGCTTCATTGGTAAACTGAGGTACATGTCTTGGCTAATGGCACATTATCTGCAATTTAACGCAAAGCTGACATATGAAAAAATTGGAATATGTAACTGACTGTTTTCATGTATCAGGTCAAACCTTATGGGCACCAAATTTACAGTGTATGACAATGGCACAAACCCTTGCAAAACTCCTGGAGCACTGCTCGAAGAGAGCAACAAACGACAAGAACTGGCTGCCATATGTTATGTGAGTGAATAAATGTTCTGAATTTATATATTTTTTAGTCAGATATTCATGATATCCTTTGTTTGACAGGAAACCAATGTACTAGGATTCAAAGGACCACGCAAGATGACTGTTATAATACCGGGCATGAATATGAACTTTGAAAGAAAGCCAGTGAGACCTCAAAGTGTAAGAATTAACTCCCACATTTGAATTTAGAGGGAATGTGTACTTTTGTAAAAATTCACATCTGTAATATATCAAACATTTTGACACAATAGGAGCAGGAGAGCCTACTGAGCCGATGGCAAAACCACTCAACAGAAAATCTCATAGAGCTGCACAACAAGGCCCCAGTGTGGAATGATGACACCCAGTCTTATGTGTTAAACTTTCATGGGCGCGTCACTCAAGCTTCAGTTAAGAACTTCCAAATTGTCCATGATAATGACCGTAAGTGCCACCATTTATTCAGCATGTTATAGTATATTCATGATGTTTACATGGTTTTAGACTGTGATCCATAAATTATGCCTGTCTCCATGTAGCGGACTACATCGTCATGCAGTTTGGCAGAGTAGCTGAAGACATTTTCACCCTGGACTACAATTATCCTATGTGTGCTCTTCAAGCCTTTGCTATTGGCCTGTCCAGCTTTGACAGCAAGTTAGCATGTGAATGAATGAATGAACTCAACTTCACATCCAGGGTCCAGTGGTAGAACGTTTGGAATGAGCCTGAAACAAGGACAACAAAAGAACACACACATACACATAAAAAACAAAAACAAAAACAAAGTTTTTTAAATCATTTTTTAAAATCAGGCATTTAGATAATTTATATCAGACCTGTAGGGGCCACTGATTTCAAAATAATTTTTCTTGAGCTATGTGCAGTATTCAGGGCATACATTGTAAATGTATAAATACACACAAGAGAAACAAAAAAAGTTATTTCTGGTCTGGTAGTATCTGATGTTTCTGCCTTAAATAGATACATAAAAAATATAACACTAAGATCAACTCTAGTGTAGGCAGTGTGTGGTTTAAACCATACGTATTTGGTATGGATCCTCATAGCTACAGAAACTATACACAAGTAAAAATATCATCTTCTTTTTCATTTTGTAATAGAAACCAAAAGTCAACATTGTATTAATATTGCCTTATTGTTACTTAATTTGCCATTTATTTGTCTAAATTTGACATTGCTGCCTTTTTTGTCTTATGTGTGATGTGGATAACCTGAAAATGATTTAATGTCTGTGAATGTGTTTTTTAATTTCACTTTGCTATTGTGGGGAAAATGCAGATTTGCACAGATGCTGTATAGATATGTATATGTACAAAGATATGTATTTTATCTGATATATAGGGAAGTACTCTAAGTTCATGTTTATGTAACTGAATAAGCAAGCTAAATATGTTTAATTTAAACAGAAATTGTGTCATTTTACATCGGTTTTAAATTTGAGAAAAACATCAAATATACCACCAGAATGTTTGTACACTGCCACAATTGAAGAAAAACAGGAAGAACAAATAAATACATTTTCATAATCAAATGTGTCCAATATTGTAAATAATATTGTATATGGTAGTGTAATCTATCAAATAACCGTTAACTAACTGGAACTAACTGAAAAAGATATGCCATACATCAAGTGTACCTGCAAATATGTATATTTGATCCAAGGATATAGCTTTGGCAACTACCAAAAACTACAAATGAGGATTATTTGTACAGATTGTCCAAGATAATATTATATTGCTTTGTAAACATCTTTAAGTTAATGATATGAAAGAAAATATTTGTTTACATATCAAAAAACTTTATTGGAAATTTTCAGACCATGGAACTATAGGCAACAAAATGGCTATACAAATGTCTATTTAAAATCATTGTAACAGAAGCTTTTCACTTGAAAATGAAAACAAAAAGCAATGGAGTTGAGCAATTGCCATAAGCGTAACATTGACACCGTTTGACTTTGAATTTACATGAAACGCTTGCAGTCTCTTTAAAGTTCAACAATATTAGGGACATATTTGTATTTGATAACATAGTAGGGGTAGCACTGGCAGCCATGAAAAACATTTATTGAGGTGAGACTGAGCAGGCTGTCCACACAAGAGTCATAAGGTTGGTGCATGTTTCCATGTTTAATGGAGGGCATTTGTAGCTGCTTAATTCCTCATAAGACTTTCCCACCAAGATTTTTCAGAGAAACATGGTGCGGACATTTGCATTTTATGACTTCATCGAAAAGGTGTGAGACTCTCATGCATCAACAGCAAAGTGGGTGCCCTGACCTGTGGTTGCCCCGTATTCCCTGCCAGCCAAATGCAGATCAAAGTTGATCTGTTTCATGGTTGTCCTATGAAACAAATGTCTCTCCAGAGACTCCACAGTTTAGATGCGATTTCATCATGTACAGTCTGTAATTAAATGTAAACTTGTAATCAATATAAATATTTTGATTAATATAGATTCACTTAAAGATCACCACCTTTAAGACTTCTCCACTGAAAAACATTCTGCACTTGCTAGACTTTGATGATGTCAGTGCTGGTTTTGGACATGATCTCAAACACGTAGTCTTGTAGACTGCTGCCTTTTGGTAAATTCACCACTGTGTAGTCGTGGTGATACTCTGCAGGGCACTGCCATGGATCTATGGGCACTGCACAGGAGGGCATCTACACTGAAGCTCGCCCCCACAGGCTCAGAACCATGAACACTCTCCTACCAGAAAGTTAATATTAATATCAGTGGATAAGGCAACATTTTTCACAATAGTAAATATAACAAAAGACAAAATGTGACCAGTTGGCAGAACTGAATATTGCTTTTGCTATTGTTCATACTTGAGGGATGGTGCAGGATACTACATGTCACACAGTTGTTGTAATATTTTGCTGTTATCTTTTATGGCCAATTAAACTGTACTCTTATATATATCTAAAAGCAAACCAGGCTATATCCTTTTGTCCATTTAAACAGTTCTTTCCCATCTTTGATCCGTGCACCTTGTTGGCTAATATCACAGTACTTTTTTCCAGCAGTATTTGAGCGAGAGGTTGGACTTGTGGTGCTCCAAAACTGCCAGTGAAATGGATACAGTGTGCTGCATCTGACAATTCTAGTATAACATTTCTTGATAAGGAAGGGATCACAGATTTCAACATGATTGTTTCTAGTGCGGAGAAGAGCTATGGAGCAATATATCAAGTATTGTAAATAAAAATGGTCAGCTTATATGATTACAATGAATAGGCCTATTCTTGCTTACTAACCGTGAGTCGTTGACAAATGTAGATAAATGATGACTAGGAGCAAAGCTCATCTACTTTACGAATCTAAACTTGAACAACAATAGCGAGGAAAAAAGCGGGCCTATTGCCAATATGCTACAGAACGTTACGACGACCAGGCGCCGTCTGCTGGAAACGACAAGTACTGCACATTTGCACGTCTGCGGGTGTCAGTCTTATTTCCATGGTGTCAGTGAGGATCATGATTCGGGCGCCATTTCACTTTGCTTTTGTTTTGTTTTATGTTGAAAACGTCAAGGTAAGTTAAGGCTGTTATATCCTATATTACACTAGTCTAATTTATTACACTAGTCTAATTTATTCAGATTAATTTATTTGGTTTTACTGGGCCAGAATGTCAGCTTTCCTCAGCCCGTATATTTAAGTTATGTGTCAAGGAGTTCAGCCACTCTCATATGACTCTCATACAGTTTGGTTGACTTGTGGCAAAACAAAACTCTGTGGGACTCATGTAAGTATGTGACTGATCTTCATAATGTCAACATAACCCACCGTAACTGTGGCCAAAAATATAACCCAAAATATTTAATCTTAGTCTCAGATGAGCCACAGTCATAGAATGTATAAAACATAAATAAATAAATACATAAATAAAATAACACACACACACACAGCACACCAGCGTGCCTGAAGCATATTTTTCTTGGGTCAGGTAAGGTTGAATAATAGGCTCGATCTCTGCAAAAATTTATTTATTCTGATGATCATAACAAACCCAATTAAATGTGACAATACTTAAATCAGGTACGTGTTAAATAAGTAGGTTGTCATTGTCCAACCTAATGGTGGATAACAACATCAAAACACATCAAAAGTAATAAAGAATTTGACAACCAAGCTGTGGTAGAAGGTGAAATAGTGGAACTTTGTGCATGATTAGAAAGGCATTAGTTCTTGAACTTTGACAGAAACATTAAGAGGTTCAATCTTTAAAGGACATTGCTGGCAGCCCACCCAAAAATATGGAAAAACTGTTTCAGTGATGGCATGCTTGAATGTGTAGATGTGCGTGTTATCATGTGGGTCATGGAAAGACACTCTCCCTCTGTCACAATCCAGCAGCACTCTAATCTTCTCCAGATTTCTCTTCAGGTTCAGGCGTGTTAAAGGAGATGTCCCAGCAAAGTACATCTTATGATAAAAGTACACGGACAGGTAACCATTCTTAAGCACAGATGACACCTTCTCTTTCCTTTGAACAGATTGTTTGGCGACGCCCACCACCCAGGCTGTGTTACCGTCCACGCTGACATCCCAAGCGTGTTTGCCTGAGGTGAATCCCTCTGAGCCCAGGACCCCCGTGTCAGGGTCGAAGCGCTCCGGATTGTCAGGAAGATTCTTCTTGTTGTCACTGTCATGAACAGTTCTGAGGTCATCTGACAGCACGAGCCAGGGGGCCGCTGTGTTGGGGTCCAGAGTGACTGGGGCTGAAACACGACAGAAAGTCAGGACTCTGAGGTAACACGATATGACCACCTCTCATTCAACATCACCTCTTATCAACATCAAGACATCTCCTTAGAGTGGCCAATCAAAAAGTTACAATTACTGAATTTACTTTAAAATTCAATTGTCAACTATTTTGTGGCTATGTTACTAAGCTTAAAATATCATCATTATACATACTGTATGTAATGATTTTACTCATGTTCTTCCACACATGATATTTAAGGGATCCCAAATATTTTGCCACATCTATGAGGGCACCTGGGGCCATTAATACATCTTCAGAATGAACAGTGGCTCTGCAAACAACAACAACAAAAAATCTAAACAATAATGGTTCAAATATTGTAACAGGTCATCAGAAAAGCTTAACTGTCAGTGAACAAAACTCACAACAAATTAGGAATGCACAGTTTGTCAGTACTTGTATCAGTTGTAAACTTACAATAAGTAATAAACATTTTAAACTGTAATAACATGTATTAATAGGTGCGCATTACAATGAAGGATAACGTAATTAAATAAGTAAGGAAACAGTATTATAATTAATACATGTAGTATCTCAAATACCAAAATATACTGTATGTATAGTAGGTGTGCCCTATGACTAACTGACCGTTGTTGTGCGTGGGTGTACTCTGTCAAAGGTAAATCAATGAATCTTTACTGTAAAAAATAATGAACATAATCCTCAAAGTAAGTACCTGTCCAGTGTGCTTTGGCTCTTCTGAAAGACATTCAAAATACAAGTATCAAAACCTTGTCATAAATACAACAGTAGGTGAGGTATGTTGTTATACATACATAAAGTATAGATACACCGTCCAAAGCCATCTGCTCCTCCAGGGCATTGACACTGTCAGACACAGCCTGTATGTTTCTAGACATTTCTTCTGCCTTTTCTCTCATTGCTTGTGCCTTGTGCTCCTGCTCTCTCCTCAGAGATTCCACCCTGGCTGCCTCCTCCGCTTCCAGAAAACTGTGCAGGATTTGAAACTCCTCATGTGTCTTCCTCTCCACCAGTTGTGCCTGAAACTGAAGCATCATATGGTAGGTTGTTGACTGTAAATAGCCCACAGTACAAAAACACCTTACCCGTATGTGTGACTCACTGTCCTCATAGACTTTCTTCATGTTTTCAAAAGTAATTCTCTTCTCCAGCAGGGACTCTAAGGTTGACTTCACTTTGTCCTTTGTATGGAAATAAGAATTTATATGAAAAGCCTTTTTAAATTATTGACAATGTCTTCTGTTTCTCCAATGGCAGTATTTGTCACTATATTTGTTGAGCTTAGATCATTGCTTATTCAAAATGTGTAGATTTAATTCTTTCTTAATTCTGACTTAATTTTGACTTAATTCTGAAGCTAATACTGCATAATGCACAAGTAATCTGGCAACAGCTAAATCATATTCTGTATCACTGTTGTGCTGCCATCACCGTGACACCACCATTGTGATGGGTAAACAACTGCTTAACTGCTGTGAGTAGACTGTATGAACTACTTTTATTTAAAACACTAAAATAACTGATATTTTAGACATTTGCAGACAGTGAACAGACTTATCAGACTCATAAATGAGCCATTTCAGTTATGTTTCACGCTGTGGTGTTCTACAACTCCGTATCATGTGTTAAAACTGAATAACGTACGGCTCCTTGTTGAATGTGTACCTAATGCACATTTACAAATTTTCTCTAAAGTCACAATATTAGCAACATAAGACTGAAAAGAGTGTAAAAAACAGTAACCATATACCTTAAGTAGTTGGAGTGAGTAGATTGAGAGGCAATGGTGAATTTACCTTGACATCGACAATGGCCTCGCTCACAGGGCAGCAGTCATGTTGCTTGTGCTTCCTTGAGGTGTGACAAACCACACAAATAGGCACTTTATCCACGAGACAAAATAGTTTAAACTTCTCTCCATGATAAGGACACATCTCCCCTGGGTCACATTGCAGTTGTCCTCCCTCTGCATCATCACTGTCCTGGATGTAGGACTCACACAGGTTTCTGAGGGTCAGACTGGGCACAGGGTCGTCTGTGCTCTCATTTCGGCATAAGGGACAGTCTCTTCTGGGCCTGTTGCGGGTCCAATACTGCTCCAGGCATAACTTACAAAAACTATGGCTGCACTTGAGCACTACAGGGTTGTTAAAGATGTCACAGCAGATTGGACACGAAATATCAGCGTCAGAAAAAGAAAATCTACCCGCCATTGCTCCTGTCTAGGACTTTCAGTTCTACTGAAAATGAAAGTATAGGAAAGGATCAAAAGAGCAAACAATGTCATTCATTAATTTATTACTTGTTCACTGTTAGAATCACTTTTAATATTTGGATAAATAATGGACTTATATCATATTTTGTTGGGTTGTCATAGGATAATTATGCAGTGAATGAGACCAACCTGGTGCTGGAATGATCTTTGACTTGATAAAGCTGTTTACGTTGTGCACTTCCTGGTTTGTGTTGTCACAGAAGGGGGCGGAGTTACTAGACAGGGAATTTTAACCCTTTAATTACATAAATGCCCAGAAGCCAGTGTCTGTCAGTGAGTTTTACACAGTCACAGAACACCAGGATATTCTTGTATGTTCATAGTTGTTAATAACTTACAACTCATATTTTCAGATAGATTTTCTAAGATAATCAACCCCACTCATGCCACAATGGGGAAGTTCAAGGATAATGTGTGGGGATATAGAGTTTATGACTGGGCTTGTCACAATAACAAATTTTGAAATGTTTAAATACAGACTATTACAGGCGATAAACAATAAGTAAATACAGACAATAAACAATAATGTTGAAACTAAACCATAAAGCATAATTATCCCCAAAACAATTCTAAATGTACAGGCTTGTTAAAAAGACATGCGCTGCCATGAACACAAAATACAAAACTTTAATAATTAGTTTGTATCTGTAATTAGTCATAGAAGTTATTTATTCAACCTTCTACAGCTCAACTCTTATCATATGGCAGAAAAATAACCAAAAATGTCCTATAAGGTACAAAGAAAAAGTACACATGATAAATACTGACCCCCAAAAATTATTGTTCCATCTGTCATGTTGGAAGATAAGTCGATATAGTGTTTATCATGACAGGCCTATATATGACTTTATTTGTTAATGCCGGTATTTTATCAGAAGCAGTACATCATTTTAAACTGTCTCCAAGTGTTGTACTCCGTAAAACAAAAAGTAGACAAACTGAAACTCTTCACTTGAGTTACCCCACTTTGGTAAATGTATTGTGCAATGCCTGTGCAGCTATTCAAGTGTGGAATATTTATTTTTTATTCTGTCTTCACACCGCAGCTGTCCCAATTCACTGCCAACATTTTCTGATGAACTGAAACTCGCAGAAACTTTTGATTGGAGGAGGGTCACTCTGTAGGAGCTCAGTCATCAATGAAGGCAGATAACATGCTGCTCTGAATCATCGGAGCCTCTTGCAGTTCTGATTAGAGCCCTCTCCTCCATCGCAGGTCAGAACAAAAATTACTCAGGCTACGGTTTAATTCATTTGTGAAGAACTGATGAATCTTGTGCCTTTGTTCTTTGTTTAAAATGCGGAGTCAAACAAAAGCATGTTGGAGGACAGTATTGTTTGTCATTTAAATTTTTTGACCTGCCATTTAGGGATGTGTTTGCAGAGGCATTGTTTCTTTGAGTCATCATTAGTCACTTAAGTGTATTAAAGACAATATTACTACAAAAACAAGCCATTACAATTGACATTACAATGTTTTTTTTTGTATAAAAGATCTTCTTGTACCTCTTTGGCAGTTCCCTTTTTCCACTGAGCCTCGCTCCTCTGTTCTGGTTTTCTATGTTAAACTCTATAGTATAGAGTATAGAGTCTATACCATGTAACAATCACTTCCATCACTTAGGCCTATATGTCACGTCCTCATTTCATCAATTTTTTGCCTACTTTATAGAATCAGGTAGTTCAGGCCAATGTATTGCCCTATAAAACAAATAGAAGGTCTTCTTGGGGTTCCCTTTCCTACATACATATTCATCATTTCAGTTTTGTTGCCATAGACAGCTACAAAATATCCTATTCCATTATTATTATAATGGATTAATCAGTTGATACTTTTATCAATGTGAATATGATATATGATCTATTAATCTGCGTATTTATCTATTCATTATAAGTTTGACAACAACAGCATAGTTACCAAAAAGAGTCATGTCTAATGGTGTAATGGGAACCAACTATTGTATCGAGCACTATATAATGTTGCCACTAGATGTCACTGTGTACCCAAGTACAGCTTGGTCAGCTTTACCTCATTTTCATACTACACTGGCACTGCAGCACTGATAAGGAAAGTTCTTGTTTAGTCCATTTATTGTTTTTAAGTCATTCCCACATAATCTCATATTATTTGTACATGCTTTTATTTGAAGTGCCTCACAAATATAGCAACTTGAAACCTGAAGTGGTTAAACACATTTACCTGCCTGTCAGAGTCTGCAGCCCCTTGTAAATTGGTTGTCAGCCGGTGTGACCAGGGCTAATAGTGATTCATTATTGCTCACACCCTTCTCGTGCTCTCGGAGGTTCATCTGAAAGGGGATGGAGCAGGGGGTGAAGTGAATGGGGGGGTGGATGGTCTGTGTCAATCTCCCCAAACTAATGAGTGCGGGCAGCCTAACACAGAGCAGAGACAACCCCAGTCAGAGCTGTCTCACTGCCTTATACTTCACATAGGGCATCAGCATCACTTTCTCCAGAGTTCAGCTGTGAGGAGTGTTCGCAGATGGAGCACATTAAGTTTGAGGGAGGTACTGATGACAATAACAATGTCAATGTATTTGTAAAACTGACCAAATTTAGCGATATGCCAACAAATGTATGGAAACTTGGTAGAACAGGGAACTTATCATAAAGTAGTAAACTATTAATTGGCAGCAGTGGTTAGCCAAAAGATCGTGGGTTTGATTCCAGAAGGGAGATGTTGCATGTTCTTACAGCTAACTTTTCCCCCATTACTTTTAAAAACATGTGCGTTTGGTTTATTGCGTCTTATCTTTATCTTATCTACACAGATTTCTTGTACGACTCGTGTGTATAATGAGAAATGAAGCGTTTTACCTTTGCCGTGATTAGACTGCTGGAGGCTGGAGAAAATAATTCAGTTCTATTTCTGTTAGGTTTTAGCAAATCCGTGCGAACAAGAGCCTCGGGCGTGGTACCTAACAAAGGCCTATATGTCAGCTAACTGTTTCAATATGATAAAGTTTTAATATCCAAGTAAAATTTAAATTAGAATGATTACAATTAGTGAATTATAAGGGATGTATTAGTTTAGCAGTTATGTCAGACTTTAAGATGCTCATATAACACATCTGAACTTAACCTTGATTTAAAACATTGAAATTGTATCCCTTTTGCAGTATTTGTTGTAATAATACATTATTAATACCGTTTATATTTCAGCAAGTAAGTAACCAATGATGTAACTCAGGAAAGTACAAGTCTGCTTTTTTATGGGCAGCAACTTTTCATATCCATTTTCTTTTGATGAGGTGATTTGAGTGTGATTGATAATTAATACATACACTAACTTTGCCTAAATGCAGTATTTTCATATGCACAAATTTAGCTTGGAGGAAAGCATGCTAAAATATTCAGAAAACTGTTACATGCTATAGCTGCATCACAATTTGATTTTAATTATTCTTGTTCTGTATGGTAATAAGGGTGCAATCTCCGTTGAAATTTATGCATGAAATAATTACAATCAAATGAAAATAAGGAACAAAAAGATTACAATCAGTAGGTAGCATGTAGCGTGGAGAAGACGCTAGTATTAACCTCCTTGTTTAGTGGTAATTGCTGCCCATGATACAAAGAAAACAGTGACAGGAACATCAGAGCTGTATTAAATGTTGCAGCATCATCTTTTTGATCTTTTGCAGATTAAAATAATTCTGACACCTCACCAAATCACTTTCATGCTCTTCACAACATGACTCATAAGCGGCGGGCTCCACTGTTGTCAAATTCTAGTGCAGGGAGGCTTTCATTTTTTAGTCGTTCACACATGACTTGACTGCTCCATGTAAATTGGATTATTGCAGAGTTTTCAACGGCGCTTGCAAAAGATTGTTGCTTGAGATGAGGCAGATGCTTTTTTGGTTGTGTGTATGTAAAGGTTTAGTAATGGTTCAACAATTTGATTTCAGAGTTTACTTTCTTGCCATCTTTTTTCCCCATCACATGCTCATGGATATGTCAAAGTTATGGCAGAAGTTAGTCCAACTCACTCGGAGTGCGTTAAGTGCAAATTGCCGTAGACTGGTCAAAGTGAATATCAAATCTGTGTGCAACCTTTTTCTGTCCAAGTTCTCAGGCTTGAGTCATGTGCTTTTTCACATGAGTTTCAGCCATTAAAGAGATAGTATGTATGTAAGATATAGATTTTAAAGTTCATAAGGTTGATCTGTCTATTTCCCCAGATAAATATATAAATAAGTAAATATAGCTAACTATAACTTTTTGTGATAACAATTGTAATGATGATTTCTTCATAATTAGAAATATAATCATAATCATAATCTGCGCTCTCTGAGTGCTTTTCTAGTTTGTTTTGTGTCAAAATGTATATCCTTATATGTATCAATATTAAAATTACATTTATTAGCATGATCATATACTGAAATTGTCTAAGCTAGTAACATGTGAAATACGGAATTGTGTTATAAGAATAATGCATCATATTTGACTTCCTAATTCTTGTGTGAACGTCATAAGAAGACAAGAGCCTGCAAAGTGACATGAACACTTTACATTCTATTTATTTTGTATGAAAGAGAGTTTTTAATTGTCATGCTGTCTTACGGGTTTGAAGTGAGGAAGGGCTGTGGCTGTCCAAAAATTGTTGCCAAAGATTTTTTCTTGTAATACTATTATTATGTAGAACAATGCAATGCCTAGACAGTTATCATATCATAAATCATATATTCTGGGGAAAGCAATAAAACCACTGGCTGCACTGGATTCTCAGAAATCAGGAAGGCAGTCTCTAATATTAAAACTGAGTATCGAACTCTTTTGTTAGTATCGAAATGGAGTTTAAAATTGTAGTAGTAGTTGTAAAGTTACTTACTCTGCAATGTTTTTGTCTACATATTCAAGTCAATAATTACTTATGTCAATAATTTATTTAATGACTCAAGTGTGAATCAATATTTGAGCAACATATACATCTCTGAAAGGTCAGAGAAAGGTGTTGGCATATTCAGTGGGTTTGCATTTTTTGAATAGATATGTTTTTGTTTTTTATTATTGGTGAAAAGGCCTGAGGCTTAGTATAAGGTTCCCAGACTCTCCTCATTCACACAAAAACACAGTTATATCAGCAATGCACCTGCTTACTTGTACACACATGCCTGGGCTCTGCGTCACAACCCAACATAGTTTAAAGGAG